GTAAATTATATTATATACATTATAAACACGCTGCAAAAATGACAGATTAAGTAATACACTTTTTTGGAAATTTTGAAAATATAATTTTGGGGTAGTTTGCCCCTATTATCAAGCCCTTCAAAAGTGTCTGCCATTGTTTTCTTAATTATTTACCAATGTAGCTGACGGAAAGTCATTATTATTATTTGAATCAAACACTTTTTTCGCATATCGGCGACCGTCGCTCTCCGTCGCACTCATTACAACCCATAACACATTTGTCTCCTGTCCACGCAAGATCCATTTAAATACTAGATGTTCCCCGCGACTTCGCCCGCGTGTTATTTAGGGTTTTATTTTTTTGCGCGGAACCCTAATAATTTTTATAAAATAAAAGTAGCCTAAAATACTCGTTATAACATCAACTATCTGCCAGTGAAAGTTCCGTTAAAATTGGTCCAGCCATTTCGGAGATTAGCCGGAACAAACAGACAGACAGACAGACATAAATTTTAAAAATTGTGTTTTTGTTATAAATATCGTATATAATATCATAATTATGCGTTTAGTAAAAAAAATATTATGACATTAAAAACAGAGACTTAAATTTTATTTATTTGTATGGATTTTTAAATTAGTAGCCCCCGGAGAAACTGTCTGCCCTTTTGTGAGAATTTTTTATTATATATAATAAACACGCTGTAAAAATGGTAGACTGAATCAAACACTTTTTTTGGAGTTTTTGAAAATACAACTTTGGGGTAGTCTGCCCCTATGTAAACCCCTTCAGAACTGTCTGCCATTTTTTTTCTTAATTCTTTATAAACTTAGCTGACGGATAGTAATTATTATTATTTGAATCAAACACTTATTTTTGGGCGAATTTTTTTGCGACTTACCTGTATGCGCAGTACCGGGTGTACCCAGGAAGGCTAGGCAGACGGTCATATACCTGCTTATTGAGTCGACTAATACCTTTAAAAAAAGTTTCATGTTGCATCAAACACTTCATGAAAAATGCGTCATGAGCTCTCGGTCCACTAGTATATTTATTGTACATATTTATTAGTTGTCTGAAAGGAATTGCTGTCTACAATAAGACCGCCCATTGCATACTTGTATTGTGTGCAATAGAGAATATTAAATTTAAAAAAAAATAACAAATTAAACAAAAAATAAATAATATTTTAATTAAACTAAAAAAAAAATTTTGTTGATCTGCAGGTATTTCGAAAGTTCAGATTATATTTAAGTATGACCTGTTAAATGGTTACTTATTTGCTATACCCTAGTAGGTTTCACATTCAATATATGGCAGTAGAGTCTGTATTAGTTTGTTGCAATAAATACATAGCTAAAGAACATGAGTCAATATTTTTTTTTGAGTGGCGTGTGGTCTATTTCTAAATCATTGTAAAAGTAAAAAGATATCTATCTATACTCTGAATTTTTTATAATCTAAATATATTTCACCTCAACTAAACCACTAAACTTAACCAACGATTCGTACACCTTAAGTTTAATTTAATAGCGTCTCTAGCATTTTCTACACCGAGAAGTCTTCGAAATTAATTTTAATAGTATTTTTTGGGATGTAAAGGTTGTAAAAAGTAATTATTTTTGTACGATAAAGAGAACACGTCACTAATCATGTGAAGGTTTACTTACGAACCCTTCATTTACAAGTTTTACGAGTTTTATTACATTGCTCGCAAATGTGTACGAAGCTGATTTACTGTATAAACTAATAACGTGAAGCTTTTAGCAAAAAAATCTGTACGACTATAATGTACACATGAAACAAGTAATCTCAACATAAAATCACGTATTATATATATTAATAAGTGGCAGAGCACCATTCGATGAATAAGTAATTAGATCTTTTATTATATATTGTTATTTGTCACAATTAGCATAAAACCATAAGACCGTAGACATACTTTAATGGATCGTATTATAAGCGTTTAATTTCGGCGTTTTTCTTTGCTAAAAATATATTCCATCGTTTTCCTGACTGAATAATAGACAATTTAAAAATTCATTTTTCCTCTCAGCTCAGGAAGTTTATGACTCGTTCTTTATAAACATGTGATGAAATCTCTCTAAAATTAAAACTACCACTCTTTCAACAGTTCGTTTCTTTACGTACTAAAATAATAATGTCCGACCTTTCATTAATTTCATCTTATATTATCGTAGGTATTTGCGTTGTGAATGAAATGTTTTTAATGTTAACAATTTACAATTCGATTTGTAAGCCGAACGTGAGTACGAGTCCATAAAATTGTTTTAAAAAATAAAGTAATAAATATTTTAAACTAACGCTAAAGTTATTGTTTCAATAAAACCAATCACTGCGAATGATTGATTTATTAACACAATTAAGGAGTTGGTAGAAAATTACAAATAAAATAGACAACATTTATATTATCACCAATTTCGCGAGTAAGCGTTGTTTAAATTAATTGTATTATTACATGCTTCAGGGGCTATAGGAAATATAAGATTTCCGTGTCTTAATACATTATAGTTAGTGGAAAGTAAAGACCTAAAATTTTCTAAAACAGGGCACTAGTTTGTCTTCATTTTTAAGAGCATACGGAGCGGAAAAAGGTCAATCTAACACGTTGCTACAGTTCGTGTGATATTATTGTTTTTATCCGACTTTGAAAACTAAGGAGGTTCTTGAATGTATGTTGTTTACTCGTACGCTTATACGTTATCATCATCAATTGTTAATCGAATTCAAAGATATTTTTATTAAAGGCTATAACTCAAACATTTCAATTTAAAGAAAAAAATCCATCCTTAAGGGTGAAAAAAGGAGATGAAGTTTTTTTATAGAATTGTTAGACAAAATGATAATTGCATGTCTTTGGACTTGTGAAATACCTAAGTAAACTTAAAAGTGACAAAGAAAATTAATAGTAAGATCCGACTTAACATAATTAAAAAAAATTATATGGTGTGTATGGGTGGCATGATTAGGATAAGGATATAGAACGAAGAGTGAAGAGTAGGACACAGAGTAAATGTGTAAAAAAAGGCAAGTATTGCAATCAAATACATTACACAAACTGTGTGTATTGTACATGGCAATATACGTTAAACTATTGGCAGTAGGTAGCTAGTGACAGTTGGGTGTTCGAGTAGCAGAATAAAATTATAATAAAATTGATGTATTAAGTGTAGAGCGGCCCTCCACTAGATAGAGTGACAATCTGGTAAGACATGCAGGAAGTCGATGAATTCAGGTAGCTCAGGACCACCGTGCTTTGGGCATTCCTTGGGGAAGACTTATGATCAGCAGTGGACTTTTGAAGAGCTGTAATGATGATGATGATGATGAAAATTAATTTTGTAGAATTGCGGTCTTTAAGGAGTATGTCAGGAGTGACTCTGAAAGATAGGGCGAGAAAAAAAAATGTTTACAAGTAGATGATATGACTAAGATTAAGAAAGGAATGCTTCAGTGGTTTGGACGTAAGCACAACAATTTTCAAAGAGAGTGGCTAAACGAAAGTTTAACGTAATTGTTGGAAATATATAAAAATGAGACAGGTTAAAAGTACCAATATTCAAATATTTACAAAATCTGCATATAACATTTTACAAAGCGTAATACCAAATATTTTTCGTTGATCCATAAAGTTTATGATCAGCAATAACCACGACATGACGAAACGATACGATTAGGTATTTTCTACGCAAAATTACGATTTTCGTTACGCAAAACTGTGACGTGATAACGAAGTGGGTAGTCCTGACATTATTATTTTTTTTTCTCGCCGGCGCGGCGAATAATTTATTGTTTCATGAACTGGCCTACCAAACCTACCAATCCACCCGACCATTTTTTGTTCAACCGTGTTTTCTTGAATACATTATTTGATTGCTCACACATTTTCTTGAGAGACCGCAGTTGGCGGTCGAAATATCTTCGCTTCATCTTCAACTCATTCTCGTCTTGTTTTGAATTCAACAAATAAATTATAAAAACTGTTGCTCGTAAACCACCAGTTTTTTTTTTTCGAAAACATACATTTTCTAAATAAAAATATTAAAGGAATAGGTGTTCCATTTACAAATTATATTTGTTAATAATTACTTCTACAAAATGCATAATAAGTAAATGGCATCTCACTTCTTAAGTCATTCCCCTTATAAAGATTGCAGACCAGGATTCGTGTCACTGAAATTGCTCCTTCCACTGTATAACTTGTTTAAATTACATATTTCATGGCGTATAGCGTATAATATTTTCCTGTTCACTCGCATATGTTGAGCAATATAAATAATTTTATGATATTAAAAATTTTACGCACTCTACATGTAAGTTAGTAAGTTAAAATATGCTTACTGGCTTTCGTTGTATTAATCAAGGATATAGAATAAAAGACACGATAATAATCAATTAATATACAAAAAATTTTCTTTCTTATTTTGCGTTCATATGCTCCAGTAACCTGTAAACTTATCAGTTTGAACAAAAAATGTAGATTGGGACTGCTATTTCGTTATTACAGCTTATTTAATGTAGCGAAATTGTTTGCCACTGCCCAACTAAACCGTCATTATTGTAAGGCACAACTATTTCAATCTGATCCGAACAGGCTGATGATGGTGAGCGTTATGTATGGGAAATATTGGCGACGCGCTTACCAGCTGCCCAACTTGATGAGTATTGGGCAAATATCTTAATTTTTGCAGTTCAGTGGGCAAGTGCCCGATTTTTTAATACAATTTCTACAGCACTTCAAAGACACCTGCACTCAACTTCAAACGAAAAAGGCTCCAGATGCGTTGACAACTTTTTAAGACTGAGATGGAATGCCTCAAAGGATGTAATTTTAACGTCACTCTATACTTCTCAGACCGAAATGCAGCAGTACATGCACTACTGTTTGGCGCCAGAAATAGGTACCGACGGTCTCAGGCAGAAAAGAAATTTCGCCACCTAATAAAGTAATTTTAAATCTAAAAATGTTGTTTAAGACATTTAAAATATAGATAATTCGTACAACAAATCCTTTTTTCCTTGGCGTTGAATCACAGGTGTGTGGAAGAGCTGGTACTGGTGGAAAACTATCAGTAGAAGTGATGACGCTAGGGCCCCGTGGTGACCGCGGTGAGAGAGGTGGTGGCTGCCCTGCCGTCCCTGTACTTAGCAGCCCCATTATCGGCTTTACATGCGTATCTGAAACAAATTTTATTTATGAACATGATTCTTCTTTTTTATCATCTTCAAAAAGGGGCTGTCTATTGCTCTTTATTGACCTCTCCCGTTTTAGGAAGATTTTGTTATATTTTCACTTGGCAGGCGCGTCAGTGATAGCAGTACTGGATGGATTGCACCTTTGAAGTTACTCGTCGTCATCGGCCTAGGTAGGTATTTTGCATCTGACATGCAAGAGATTATTATATCCCCTTTTATCAAAGGTCAATTGATGATTTTCCAGAGTCATCCCTGATGCCAATCACGCAAAGAAATGTTATCTCTAATACAACAACCGTATGGCAATGATTATTTTATGATTTATGAATAATTCAACAGAAATTCCTTTAACAGCTTATAAAAATTTACTTAGTTCTCGCAAAAGCAGGAATGAATTTTGATTACATTGAAAATGGAAAATTTTTATTGTTTTCTTCTAAGACACAAATAACCCTATCATACGTAATAGCACAGTTTAAAGAGATTAATAATAGCAATAAAATATATATCTTTATATATAAAAATTACGTGTCACATTGTTTGTCCGCGATGAACTCCTAAACTACTGAACTGATTTCAATGGAATTTTGCACACTGTGTTCAGTTTGGTCCAACTTGAGAGATAGGATACTTTTTATCCCGATAAGTGACCTTCAATATTTTTTATTGCGAATTTAAGGATTTTTTCATTAGAAGGGTCGTCTGAAAGGGCCGAACAATGTCTGCCTGGCCAGTTAGTTATGTATATATTACAGGTAATGCCTGAAGAACAAGTATGCCACAATTAACCGGGCTTATTGGGTAAAGTTAGAAAAATAAATAAAATAATTATTACTTCTGTTATTGTCAAAACTACAAAAGAGCATATTATAAAGAAATATCAACAACAGAAAGTTAAAGTGCGGTTGGAGTGGCCTATAGGCCACAATCTGTGCATACACTAACCTCTTGCTCATTTCTGGCGCACGTGTACTGCTGTGTTTCAGTTTAAAATGTATAAAAGCCAGTATATTACTGACCCCTGAGGCATAACACATTCAATATCATTGACATTGCTGGGAGATCCTTGTACGATACTCAATAACGTCAACGGGATTTTCCAATGGTAGATATTTAGGTTAACATAATATTAAAGACCAAAATCATATCTAACAATCTTATCACGTGATCTTTTTCTTATTTCTCCTACAATTAAAAAAACAAAGAAAGATATTTTATAGAAAGATATTTTGAGTTCATTGCAGGAACTGGAACTTAAATAAAGTCTAGTTTGTCGCTATTAACCTACCCCTAAGCTCAGATTACACAAAATGTGGAAATTTAAATATCTTCAGTCTTGGTTGTTTTAGGATACAGTTTTCATACCAGGAGCCCTATAATTTATCACAAACACATGATAAGATAATATTATACGTGGTAGAGCCATGCTGCAGCTATATTAGTAGTATAGTTGTAGCACGAATGGGTCGGCTCGACCGGGGAAGGACCACGCTCTCATAGAATACCAGCGTAAAATAGCAGCTTAATGCTGCTGTGTTTCGTATGGTGAGTGTAGAGAACCGGAGACCCATTTTACTGGAAAAGAGGCATTCTATCTTAGTCCTCACGGCTGACAACGCATCTGCATTTTGATTCTTAATCGAAGATAGATGTAGATGTCTATGGGCCACGGCAACCACTTACCAGCAGGTGGACTGTGTGCTCGTTTGTCACCCTATTTCTATAAAAAAAATTATAAATATATTTTCCTTAGTTCTTATTATCTAAGCAAAAGATGCAATTTGATGATGTCATTATATGCTCTAAGTAAACTAAATATGAAAAAAATTGGTATCGTAAAATTATTATGAGGCTCTTTTAGAGATTAAGCTTAGTTTTAGAAATATCATGCTATAAATTAGGCTAAAATGTATCTTTTCACTTTAAGGTCTCATATAATCTAACTATAAAATAAAACATACTAGGTATAGATTCTGTTCGAACGCGATCTGGACTTTTCACTGAGATCGCATTCGTAACTCCCCAATACCACACAGACCGCAGGATACCGGTGTACGCCTGTTTCCTTAACTTCTACGTCCCTCCAAAACTTTTGAATTCGTGTTATACGATATACGATATGCTAAGAAAAAAATTGGGAACTTATAAGAACTATGCTCTTGAGATTAGGCATACGACAGACATACGACAATTTGTCAGACATGTTCGCAAAAGCCTAGGGCGCCCCACAGGCAGTGAATATATTACACGAACCATTTCGGTATTTTTTCGAACCCCCATAACTCATAATACATACAACTTCCACTTTTAATTTTGCATACATAATAAAGATCCCGCGAATACCTAGAAACCTAAATCTCGTGAAAAACCTAATAAACTTCTTGAGTCACAAACGTCTTAAATATTCACCAAAAATCTAGGCCACTTCTATGTTACTTAGAAATATGGAATTTAGAATGAAGATATATAGAAAACAAAGGAATATATTAATATATAATTAGGCGTATGCAAAGGAAAAAATTGATAATTAGAAATTATCGATATGTAATCAGTATCGAAAAAATGTCAACAAAGCTTCTGGTGCGGTTAGTTCCAAGACCTACCTAACCGCACCATTAAATTTGTGGACATTTAATTTTCATAACAACACTTGAAATTAAAAAAGAAATCGGTGAAGCATAAATGAACAATATTTTTTTTACTTCTATTAATAAAAAGAAAAACCTTTTTTTATAAATGAATTATCCATTTCTACCAAGAATATAAATGTGAAAGACCAATTGGCGTGGTCGACTTCACCGATAAAAAATCTGAAGAAGAATCTGAAAGGGCTCCAAGCACCATAGCAGTTGCTTAAACCATAGGATTTATAAAAATGTACAACGTTCTTTAAACTGGAACTTGGTGCCTTGGTGCCCGAACGCACGCCGAGGTACCGGAGCCTTTGAAGCTGTTTGTGCCTCATAAGAAGGTGGTTAGGTCTCGCCCATATTCCATATTTAATGTGTTCGGCACACTAGGATATATTGTACCTATGTCAACGAAAAAACGGACATCTTGAAGGGTATTTGAGAAATTATTGTTATTTATTATATTTTTATATGTAAATAATGATATCTATCGGCTTTTTTGTAAAGCATTGTCTTAGTATGATAAATATCTGTACTCGTTTTTGTAGCATAACGGTGATTTTTGCAGAGTACCTAACCGATGGTCTGCAGAACAGAAACGGAGCAAGTTTCAACAGCATCCTGATGACGTTAGCGTGTGGTGGTGGGGGGCAGATACACATCGACACTTAGGAAGTGTATAGTGCGATGATCATAGAAACTTACTCCATTCATTGTCGTCTTTTGCACAATAGAATGGGATTCTATTTAATTATATTATTTGTTTTTCTTTTCTCACTTTTTTATTACTTACCTGTTAGTTTTTCTTTTACTACTATTAGTATCCTAGTTTTCTGAAATAAGCATTTTTTCTTGCTTAATTCTACAGATTAATATAAAATAAAGAAAACTGTCTTATTTCAAACTGTAGAAAATGTTAGGCAATCATCATAGCCCTCATGGGTAGCGTGTATAAAAGGTTATGTAATATTGTTATATAGCTAAACATGGACTCGATAACCGATATGCTTTAGAGATATCATATTAGTGCAAGTGGTGAATGGGTTTGTTGTAGCAATACGGCATCCCTGTGGACATCGCGCACCCTCACATAGTTGTGGGCGATGGGTTATAAAACGTCGGATATTTTTTGGATTAGAGAAAGTGTGTTTGGTAGCACTTTTTAGTCCAACAAACATACTTAACTCCATGCCTTGGTGCAATAATCCTACGTGGATATTAGAAGCAATCGTCTTATTAGCGTGCTACTATGATACCTTGTTGCTACTTTTAGTTAACAATTATGTTTTCAAAGTCAAAAGGTATTATAATACTCGTACTTGCATAGATGCTTACTGCTAGTTGCGGCATTGCGCCTTGCGATGAATCTGCGCGTGAACTATGCCTTATTCAAAATATTTTGTGATTCCGATCGATGAAGGTCCCATAGAAGTTAGAGATGGGCGTGTAAATCCCGCGGTGGGATCTTGGACTCATTTAACAGTACATAAAATAGTATATAGAAGTTATTTATGTGTTATAACATGTCCCAGTTGACGATTACGAATTATAAGAAATTTTGCTTTAGTTTTCATGGCCCGCAAAGGGATTTGTATTACTTTTTGTCTTGGAGTTGATAGCAGGTTTTTACCTGCTGCGTGTCACTATACTTTCAAAACTTTTACCGAAATACATAAAACATTATTAGTATCATTATCATCCTCATCATTACAGCTCTTCAGAAGTCTACTGTTGAACGTAAGCCACTTGCATCCATCGACTTCCTGCATGTCTTGCCAAGTCGTCACTCCATAAAACGGTAAGCCGCCACACTTCGCCTACTGGTACGAGGCTACTACTCGAGAATCTTTCTTCCCCGTCGGTTGTCGGTTCTTCGAACTATATGGTCGTCCCATTGCCACTTCAGCATACTAATCCATTGGGATGACCTGCAACGATCTAGCATCCTTTTGTGTTAAAGATATATAAGATAATCGTCAAAGTAAAACATCTCAATACAAAATTTTATCTATATCTTTAGAACAGTATCAGAGAAACCAAATACTTAAAGTTAAAGTAACAGCCTATATACGTCCCACTGCTGAGCACAGGTCCTCTCTCATTTATGAGAGGGTTTTAGGTGTGAAGTGTCCGCCGCGCTGCCCCAATGCATGTTGGCGAACTTCACATGTCTTCGAAATACTTCTTTTCTTATTTCTCGGACATGCAGTATTCCTCACGATGTTTTTTTTCACCGCCGAGCACATGGTAAATCAGCACTTCAGATTGCAACTAACAATTTCATTGGTACCGACGGGGATCGAGCCCGGGTTGCTCGCGGACTGTGAAACTT